TCTCTTTGTGTGTGTGTGTGTTTTACGTAATAGAGGAAGCAAGAGTAATTAGAAACAGGACCTGTCTGCGGGACAATGGAAAGTTAAGAGAAAAGGGAGAGACAGACAGTAGCTGGGTCTCCATCCAACTTTTTTTTTTTACTTGATGAGGTATCATATTATAAAAGCTGAAATTTGAATACAATATAGCTTTTGTTTGTGTGTGAGGTGTATTGTTATTACCAATAATAGGATATCAGCCTATAAATAGGATTCAAAAGTGTCCTGAGATAACTTTTGTTATGAGTTGGTGCTATACAAATAAAATAAAATTGAATTAAAAACGTGTTTATGTTTTGAGCCACTCTCTGTAATAAGTTTCATAACCACATTTCTACTATTACACTGTAAATCAGACGTGTCTTGACCTCTTTCAAGTTTCTGGAAACACACACCCAGTCCACATTTAATTAGTGAATGCTTAAGATGTTTGCTTGGATGGAAATAGTTAGTTAGAAAATTGTTTGACATCCTCTGGACTTTCCTATAACCACAGGGTTGCACTGACGCATTCATTGAAACAAATAACAACTGACTCCATATTAATTTCACACTGTAAGACAGGGAGGGGTTGAAACCTCTTAGAGCTAGGTATTGAAGTTATTACTTTCTGTGGGGTTTTCTGTGGCTAATGTCTTGCTATTTGACCTTGTAATTATACAAGCGTGCCCTTGTAAAAGCAATAAAACAAAATATATATATATATAGATTAAAACTAGCAATGCAGGCAAAAACAAATCATTGATTAGGTGCTGCAGAAAGTCACAATTCCTAGGCTTTAATTTGAGAATCGACTTGTACTTCCCCAGTTTGCTGTAAATAAAGTGAAATGGGCTACAAAGGGAAAATACTTATCATCATTACAGCGTTAAAGGGCACAATTGTGTGCATGTTTGTCTCCACATAATGTGTTTTGTGGGTTGGGGGAATCACAAACCATCACAAATCACTGTTGCCTGCCTTCTCTGCTCATTGTGTATCCAAGTGTGTGTGTTTGTGTGTGTGTCTGCCCGGGCTCTGGCCCAGCACAGAAGCAGACCTCTGTTGGAAATGTAATTCACATGAGGCCGGAGGAGCCCTAATGCTATTACCACACACACACACACACACACAGCTGTGTTGCCGCCCACACTCTCTGCGTGTACCTCCCTTTTCTCTCCCTTGTTTCCTCTCCCTCGGTTTTTGATGGTCTGTCGTTGTGGTTTCCAAAGATACGTGATGCAATATGAGGAGCTGGGCAGAAGGTGAAAAACTCATTACGTCTTTAGGGTGCCTCAGTGCCGATAGCCAAAGCTGTTTATGTGCGTGTGTCAGTAGTGTATTACAGCAGTCACCTCATCCGTCTATTAAACCACCGAAGGCCTAAAAAGACAACTTTCAGTCATTGTAAATGTCTCTGCAGTAGTGTGGAAGTGCTGTTATGACCAAAGAGAAACAGAGACAGGAAAGAAAAGTCTAGAGGTTTAAGAGTCTCAGGAAATCAGGATGTACAGTATCTGTCGCTGTCACAGTAACACGAGGAAAGCCTGCCCTGCAGCCAGTGCCAGAGAGAAGAGGTGGGACCATTTTTCACACGAGGCTCCAGCAGCCCCAACGCCCACGCTGACTTTCTCAGAGTCAGTGTGAGATAGATAGAGAGAGAAAGGGGGGAGTGAGCGAGGCAGAAAAAGTGATGCCTAATTTCCTCAATGTCTCCTAAAGACAGAGGAAAATGACTGAACCAACTGAGAGAATAAAGAAAATAGACCCTCGAGAGCGATATTGTGTGAATGCTATCAGAGTCGTGCAGCAGGAGTTTTTTTTTTTTTTCTGCTACAAAAGTCTGGCTGTTCTTTTGAAGTTTTTTCAAAAGTTTCACTGTGACACTCGAGGCCACAGAGACGCCGTGAATGAAGTTGCACAATAAAATTCACTGGAAGTCTCAGAAAGTCCCCCAATTTGTAGTTGAGTTCCTGCCCCCAGACCAGTCAGTGTCTTAATGTGTAATGTCTTTATGAAGAATTAGAGAGAGGGCGGCTAGAGGTGGAAAAGGTGACATTTAGCAGTGTAGACGGTGTTTGATGACCAAAACTTTTTCAGTCCTCTGTCCTTTCTCTTGCTTCCATCCTCCTTGGAGAAACCCTCCCCTGTATCACCTCTGAAACTTCTTTTCTAGGTCACAGTTTCTGAGGGCTGCTAGCTGAGCTTTAGCCTGCCATCTAAGAGACCGCTGTAACTGTTCTTTTCCCGTTAATTGAACGTGTCTTCATCAGTGTCCGCTACTATTAGATCTGGCCACGCTTAACATAATGCACTCACGCAAAGAGGAAGTAGTAGTAGCTCTTTGAATGTTGAAGGATGGGTTGTGTGTAACCTGTGTGCGTGTCAGAAGAGTTTAAACTACTGTATCCTGTGTGTGTGTGTGTGTGTGTGTATCTGAGTAAAAAAAAAAGAAGCTTAATTATGTTTTCTCTGTCCTGTAAGCTATCAAAGAAAAGTACTCCCATGTTTGCTTTTCCTCTGTTTGCGGGCCCATTTATACTTACAAACATCATTAACATGACCCTTTTCTCTTGTCGTGTTTGTTTATTCCAGCGGTTACGGCGGTTATCGACTAAATACCGGACGGAGAAGATCTACCCCACCAACGTAGGAGAGAGGGAGGAAAATGTCAAGAAGAACAGATATAAGGATATACTACCATGTAAGTCCCGGCACACCAACAAATGCCATATTATTGCACAGATGAATGCTCTTTCTTCCGTCTCGTAGCGTGAGTATTGGTCCCATTCCATTTAGGTGTGCATGCAGGCCTCACCTATATGGCGTACTCGCATTAATGATAATAGTTACAAGGACATAGGGATGTAATGTCTATTTAGTGATAGTGATAACATTTTGGAAATATGGTGGCCGACTCTTTCCACTAACACAGCTCTTGGGTGTCTTCCTTCACTCCTACTTTCTGTTTCTGTCATGTTTAAATTCTCTCATGTACCTTGTAATGTACCAACATTATTCTCCAACAACAAAACCATCTGCTCGCATGCCTGCAGCTCATTCATAGTGGTAACCTTTCTGCGCTGCCATTAACAACTACAGCGCTTTAATTCGACTGAGGTTTATATGCAATTTTAATGCGAATGCAGTGCCTGACAATATAATCTGTATGAAAGCTTGTGTCCTGCATGACAGCAGCATTGAAATATCTTATATGTATGTCCTTAGATCTAAAGATAAGTCACTTTGTGTGCCAGAAAAAACACACATTCAATCAAAGTTGAAAAATATTGTCAAAAAACGACCTTTTTAACCACACCTACCAATGTTTACTTGTAGGGAGATAATGTAAAACTAGAGTAAAGGGGAGGCTGTTGGGTAGGATCAGACAGATGGAGAATGATAGGAAGTATGCGCACACATACGTTTAGAACAAATATCCAGTGTGTTGTAATAGGTCATGTAATGGTCTCTGTCTTATGCACACACACTCGCTGTACTTAATGACCTCAGGCGACGCTTCCATGACCCAAAATCGCTCCTACTTTTTTTTAATACCTTTTATCCTCTTTTTCTCCATCCATTCATCCATCCATCCATCCATTCATTCATTAAGGCTTTTAGTGAATGAGCTTCTGATAAGGCAAAGGAAGAACCGGTTCATCCGTAACAGATGTGTCCTCACACATACACATACTTAGGAATGAGGATATAGCCATGTGTCCATTAAGCTCTTTACATCCACTTTCTCTCTAGTTTGTTCTCCCTTTGTCTCTCACTATATCCCATTCGATCATTTTTTCTGTCTATCAGTCCACACTTATTCCGCTCAAATGTAAGTAAATATTTTGCTTTCTTTTCTCCCCAGTTGATCACAGCAGGGTGAAGCTGACGTTAAAAACGACCAATCAAGACACAGATTACGTCAATGCTAACTTCATCAAGGTAAAAAAGCAGCAGACATATGTTTGATTATAGTGTTAGAAAAATAGACATGGTATAAAGTCCTATATGTGCCTTCACAGAATATATGTAATGCTATATATTTTCTGTGTGGATTTGTGATCTTGCCCTTTCTTTCTTTTTCCCCGTATCTCCTTTCAGGGTATAGATGGCCCAGAGGCCTACATTGCAACTCAGGGCCCACTGCCGAACACTGTCATCGACTTCTGGAGGATGAACTGGGAGTACAATGTAGCTGTGAGTATGGCTCACTGGATGGCAGGAGAGATGGAGTCCCTCTGTGTCGACATGGATGTCTTCAAAATAGGAACAGAAAGCTGTTACTTAGTGAATCTTTTTTTGTTTTTATGAAAGTGGGTGTAATAATTAAAGTAATTAAAATAAATATTTAATATGGTTGTCAGGAATTAAGGGGCAGATGGGGAGCGCTTATGCTTGAACCAGATGGACAGACATGAAGGGGAGGGAGAGAGGGAGCTGCGATTAGGTTTAACTAGCACTCTGAAATGCTTGAGATTGCAGCTTTGATAATTAGTCCTGTAGGATCAGAGAGAATGATGCGAGGTATTGATGTAACAGTGAAACGTATGATGAAAAATGATCCGAGGTCTAACCTCTCCCAATTAGTTTTTTCGTAACTCTGCTGGGTACTCTTCTGGATCTCATTTTGGCAACTACAGCGTTACATAAATAGCACATATAGGAACAGATATATTTGGGAATTTCAGATTTAGCTGTGAGAGCCAGAGTGTAAATATTGATTGTAACCCTTCCTGTTTGTGTCTCTGCAGGTTATTGTAATGGCTTGTCGAGAGTTTGAGATGGGAAGGGTAAGGCCGTGATATTTAATCCCCCCCCGGTGTATGTTTGTGTGTTCCTGCATGCAAGTGTTCATATGTGTATGTTCATGTGTCCGTACACACATCTGTGTTTTATTATCCCCACCAAGGTTACAGTATGTTCTCAGTCACTGGTCTGTTTGTCTGGTAAAATATCTGAAAATATTTTGCTTCACGTAAATGAGTGGAAGTTCCTTTAGTCTGACATGTAAAATAACACAGTTAGAGGGTTGTCTAGCCTCAGTTGAGGTTTTTCTAGTACTTTCTCTATTCTTCTTGTCTATCTGAGTGTGCTTGCATATTTGTGTCTGCTAACTGCCTTTGGCGACCTCTCAGGCTTTTCACAAAGCCTTGAATCACTTTCAACTGAAGTAACAATTAAGCGTGACTGATAGATAACTTCTACATGCATCTATGAATGTGTGTTTTTCACATGTAGGTGTATGAAGTATATAGTATGCATGTATTTAGTCTTTCTTTTTCTGTAAATGTCATTGTCGATGTTCCACACGTCACATTAATCGCTTATTTCAAGCCAGAAAGTGTATGTGCACAGGAAGCTGTGGTATTTGTCTGGTATTCTGTTCTCAGCCAAAGCTAACTCCTGTTCTTCTCTGTTTAGAAAAAGTGTGAGCGGTACTTCCCTCTGCACGGGGAGGAGCCCATGAGTTTTGGCCCTTTCAGAATCTCATGTGTAAGTAGACAAATCTCTAATATCACAGCTGTTTGTGTGTAGAGTGTGTGTGTGTAAGGTGGGGGTGGTGTTTTTTTCGCTCTCCTGCATTTCTCACATTTTGTTCTAATGACCATTTTAGTCAAGGATTGTGTAAATGTTCTCCCTGTGTCTGTTTTCTAGGAATCAGAGCAGGCCAGAACAGACTACTATATCAGGACTTTGACGGCGGAGTATGAGAATGTAAGTTCGCTGAATTTCTTCAAGCTGATGTATCTCTCACAATGGCAGATGTATGCAAAATCACATAAAAAAATTCAAATAGATGTCCGAAGTACAAAACATTTTAGTTGTTACCATTCACAGTCCTTGATTTGAGCAGCAGAGTTTTGTAAAACCACACAAATTATGTTTATATCATCACTGTGCAACTCCACTGAAATTCCAAATGATAATATTAAAATATCGCCCACACGTTCACTTCACTTTCTCCTCTTGGCCTGCTGATTCAATCCGCCGACCTTCCATAGACCTGCAACCCTTTTTAAAATGATTCCCCCGTATGTGTCCCTGCAGGAAACTCGGAGGATAACACAGTTCCATTATATGAACTGGCCGGATCACGACGTCCCCTCGTCGTTTGACTCCATACTGGATATGATCGCACTAATGAGAGAATACCAAGAGAATGATGACGTCCCTATATGTATACACTGCAGGTAGGTGCAGTACAGACATACCAACGCAAGATCACCCGTGTATGCCCATACTGTAGCTAAGGCAACATGTAGAAAAGCAGACTGATTGCAGATGAAAAGATCAAGTAATGGCATGATATACAGTGTATGTGTATGTGTAAATGGGTTCTCAAATTGAACTGAATGACTTGTGAGATTGCCAGTGGTTTTATGCAAGGAGGCAGTAAGAATGTGCAACAGGTGGTCGGCATGGGTTTCTGTGTTTTGAAATCAAGTTTCAACACAGCAGAGAAATGTTGCAGTAGTGTCTAAACCCGACATACAAATACACATCTACTCCTAGCAAAAGTTAGGTTTTAAACTCAGCTTCTATATACTCAAATTGTTTTATTTCACATTTCATTGTTTCACTTGGCCCATCTTGTTGAAAATCTTACTCAAATTGCTGCTGCTCAGTAAAGAAATCTGACAATGACAGGCTGAAACAGAACAGCTGTAATACATCTAGAGCTATTAGACTGTTATATATATATATATATATTATTATATATATATATATATTAGTGGTATGTCATCATAGGGCAATCATGAAATAGCCCATCTTATTGCAGCTATAGTGATTAGATAAGATTGCTGTGGGCAGAGAATTTAAATGTTATTTCTCTCAGAGATGACTGCACCATTTCCTCCAATGAAGAACATAGAACGATGAAGAAGTTAACAAGAAAAACAAACCACTGATTCATGAGGCTGTGTAAGGGTATACAAGCAGCGTTTCTCCACACACACGCCCACACACACACACACACACACACTGTGTGTAATCAGGTATAATGAGCAGCCTGGGGACATTTCCTGGTTCCTCTGTTACACAGCAGGACTTAAAGCTGTGTCTCTGCATCTGTAAAGATGCCTTGTGTGAGTTGATGTGCACTGTACTGTATGTGTGTGGAGAAACGCTGCTTGTTAGAGTAGCAGAGGCTCCCTGACAGCATGAGATAAAGTTTTATGATTTGATGTGTCAGACATGATGCCACATAATCTCAGTGTTTGTGTAGCTCCTGTCTCCACCCTGTCTGGGTGAAGTGTCGTGTATATAAGATCGATTGTTTGTCCACTCAAGAATAGAAATCCAGAGTTGATATTTGTGAGGAGTGTGTGTGTTTTTTTATTTTTTTATTTTTGTGATGAAGACGTGTCTGTGTCTTTATGCGTGTGCTTCTGTTGAATCTTATCTGTATGACTGTGACTGTACAGTGCAGGCTGTGGGAGGACGGGTGCTATCTGTGCTATCGACTACACGTGGAACCTCCTCAAAGCTGGGGTATGTGAACACACACACACCCACACATACCTAAAACATACCTTTAAAATGACACACTTTTTACACAGCAAATGTAAAGACTTAAGTGAGAACTAACTCCTTTGTTGTGTTGTATTCTTTCAAAGAAAATACCAGAAGATTTTAATGTTTTTCGGTTGATCCAAGAGATGAGGACGCAACGACACTCCGCTGTTCAGACCAAGGTTTGTTTTTAGTTTTAATTTGTCTTTTCTTTTACACACACATACTTTGCATTCATACCGCTCTGAGGTATGTTTAAGCTAAATGAAATGCATTTTATTTTTACTAAAGTGATAGAAATGCTAATTAGTGGCTGGATGCTATGATAGCTACCTTTTTCATGCATTCACACAAAGAACCTGGGAGATAAGGTCAACATAATGTGATATTAGTCTGGTTGTCAGATAAATAGATTTCCAACACCTGGAAGTATTTCAACTGGTTGTTTGAAAATGGTCCCTCCCCCAGAGGTTGCAAATCTGGTTTTGGATGTGAAGTAAGTACGTTTAAGCAATGCTAAACCTTTAAGGACATTACATAGACTGCATTAAAAACATTTCACAACTAGCTGCATCATGCAAAACATGTAATCTAATAGTTCACTCAGCTTTTAACAATATTCTGAATTTATTTAACTCAGCTGTTTACTGTAGTGACACATTATATTTAGTGAATTTCAGGGTTCTTTAACACATGTAGTTTGGTTTATTTGTTCTGGATCAAAAATGATGTGTTGTATTTTAGTTCTGGTCCTGTTCACACTTTCTTTTTACAAAGAGGAATAAACATAAAGACATACAGACTGACTGTGATTGGACAGTTTTAGCTATTTGCATAATCAGTGTTATGTTGACCCACGTGGGGAAGTCAAATTCTGTTTACTGACAGCAAGTCATGCAGCACTTCAGTGCTTTTATTTATTCATGTTCTCGGGTGTCACAAAGAGCCCACTAACAAATAACTGATTATAGGCATTATTAGTATTATAAGACAAACCGGTAGAGACGGGATGAGAAAGAGGTTACGCTATGGCGGGGGATTACTGTGAGATCAGTATGTCACTTTTTAAGAACCGCCAAAGTACATTACATTAATTTAGCTGACATTTTTATCCAATGCAACTTAAACTGAGTGCATTCAACCATGTGGATACAACCCAAACATTGCAAGACATGGGGATACAAGCACAACAGACCACAAGTTTAACACCTTTTGGTCGTCTGATACATCGTGGAAAATCCCTGCACTCATATGCTGACATGCTGCGTAGCATTGTTACTAAATGGTTTACATTGACGTACCATTGAATAGAAGTTGCCTTGAAAAGGTTAAGTAAGGTTTTAATTCAGCAGTGTGTCAAGCCTTTTTATTCCTGTGTTTTTTGCTGCACACCTGGTTGAAAGTTGATCTATGCCTGTTTAGCAGAGGACGACACATTCCCGCCATTAATTGTAACAGGTTGAGGTTGTTTAGCCACAATCTTGACTCGGGTGTGTTTGCATGTTTCTTGCTGCAGTGAGACGATGATTCTCAGCTGGATTTAACTTTCATTTTCTCCTCATATTTGTATGTTTAAGTGGCATACATTCAAAATAATGAGTGTCTCGACTTAACAAGGCATCCGTTGCCATTTTGTACCTTATTATCCCTCCCACGTAGAAGTCCTGACATTGAGAGGGGAAATGAGCACTGTTAGATAAATTATAGAATTGAATTTGCACACACTGACACGAGTTGAATTCAGTGTCTCCGACCAGAGTTCTGCTGGAAGCCACTGACTATAATATAATTTCTGAAAATGTGGTGTAACACACTTACCTTACTGGGAAAGTAATGAGATGAATTCAGTGTGCATCATTGAAGGTTCCTCTGTTGTTTTCACTCAGGATGTATTTCATAGTCTTGTAAATGGATGTTTTTGAGTATAGACTCTAGAATGTTTTTGCCGTATTGATTTACTGAAACCCTTTCTTGGTTTTCCCTCTCTCTTTCCTTGTCTTTCTCTGTCCAGGAACAGTACGAGTTAGTTCATAGAGCGATCGCTCAGCTCTTTGAGAAACAACTGCAGCTACTGGAGAGCCCCACCAACACGCAGATACACGATGGCATGGTATGACACACACACACATATTGTGTATGCCGTCTGGTGTTAAAGAAAGACAGGATGTCGCTGAGTAACACACTCGGAGTGGGAAAAAAAAACACAAATAATTAGTCACAGGGGAGGGAGAGGGTAGGAGGAATAGAAGAGAGGAGAAGAGAGGCCTTCAGAAAACTTTGCTCTTTACACAGACAGTTGCAGAGTTAGTGCCAAAAAGGGAGAGCGATCTCTCCTCTACAGGGTACTCCCAGAGGACTGCGTACAGTTAGAGCTATTTAAAAGAGCTCGAAAAAAAAGCTCTGCTCTGTCAGTCACTACTGCCCTCATTCTAGTTTACTTCACACTGTCCTCCATTGCCCCAAAACACACACACCAACAAACACACATACCATGCAAGTGTCCTTAATTGTCCCCGTTCCTCCTCCCTCTGCATAGAAGTGTAGTGAAACCAGCAACTACAATGACAAAAATAAAATATTTAAATAAAATCAAAGGAGCGGTAAAAAATAAGAGGCTTATCTTAACTGTAAGTTTACGTGGGATGATAAATTCATGATTACGTCTTTTAATATCCAATCTGGTGTTGGAACATTGCAAGGGAAACACAGTTGATCACTGATCGATAGCTCCCATCCATCATCCCTCATCTTGGGGAAGTTTCTTTGAGCCAAATTTCAGGAAGTTTACTTTGGTCTTAAGAAGCTGCAGGCTTTATTTACTGGCAAGTTGTAACCTACACTGTATATTTACTGCCAGATTAACAACTTCACTGCTCTCCTTTTGCACTGCTCACATTCACTGCTCTCTTTCTTTCACTCATCAACACACAAACTGTGCACACAAAAGAGAGCTGCCACGCTTATAACAGAGGGTATGAAGGGATAGTGTTCTTGATACATCTGCACTTCGTCAGTTGACCCTGGCGAGGTTTTACGGGCTGACATTATTGAGTGGGTGAAAAAAATTGCGGTCGCTATTGACGGTAGCTTAGCTATTTCAAAATGTGGGGTTTGTGTTTACGTCACCTTTAGTATCAGGTCAGCTTGCTTGGAACTGCTTGGAGGTGGTACCAAAAAAAGTACCAGGTAAGGTGACTCTCATAATGGAGATCCGAAAAAGCAAGTAGATTGAGTCCGTACCATCTGTTGGAAAAGCAGCTTTATGAAAAGAGAAATAGCTCTCTCTGGAATTTACATGATTTTAGTAGCTACTCTTACCCCCTCCTACTGGAAAATATCCAACGACAGATGTGAAGATAAAACTAGAAAGCCAGAGGAAAGCGCATTAATGAGACAGTGTGCAACACTGACATAACTAAAGCACAGAGGACAACAGACAGAGCGATGAGCGATGCATTGCGCAGCACAGGAGTTGACTTCCTGCTTAGAAGCTCGATGACATCACCCCTCTCCCATAATCAGCTTTGAGTCTGAGAATAGACATCGTTGGGAAAGGGAGACCCTTGCAAGAGCAGTCACACGAACACACGCAACATGTTTACATCAGAAAAGAAAACACTTTCTAAACTGTTAAATTAAAAAACCTAACCTAAATACCTTTCATATGATAGAATGGGGGAAAACCAGTCTGCTGTAGTGCTGTATGCACTTTCAGATAGTCTGTCCTATTAATCATTGTTAAGGATAGGTGTGGATATATGGAGAAGACAAGTCCAGCACAAGTTTGTTGCTAGTATTATAAACTGTCATTATCTTATAGAGATACAGTCCAAAAGCACACACATACAACACACCACACACACACACACACACAAAACACAACACACACACACACACGCAGTCAGCAAAACATTATCATGCGTGCTGTACTGACTCAGTCCATACACACATTGACTCATGTCCAGTCAGCCATTGTTGGTGACTAAAACACCCACATAGGTGCTCTCAATGGCAGTACGAACAATAAGCCTACACATGCACACATCCCACACACGTTTTTCTGCTCGCACGCAGGCGCCATTGTTTGCAGGAAGTTTTCCTACCAAATTGATTCTCCCAACACACACGGACACACATATCCAGCCAAATGAGACGCAATCTGACCCTCCGTCTTCACTTTATATCCACTGAACGGGCTCGTACAGGGCTGAAGTGGCCTGATTTGCCCCTCTGTCTTTGAGTTTATGACGACTGAAGTTGTCCCGTCATCTTCTCATTATCAGAGTAGAGACGGAGTCAAATTAATGAGTCACGGGGGAAGAGAGGGGAGGAGGAGGAAGACGAGAGCTGAGTGGGAGAAAGTGAGCGTTAGTCGGGAGGAGGAGAGCTTCTTTCAGAAACAATTTTGATCCTTCAGTGAAGCAATTTTGTAGCAACTTTCTACCTCTGATATAGAAACATGTAGGAGAGGAGAAAGAGTTAGTAGAGAGTAGATAGAGAGAGCGGAGCTTTACATTTCAACAGCAATTATAAAAACTGCAGTTCCTGCTGAAATGAGCTTTTGTGTAATGCAGTCTCAACAAAACAATCAAGCTGTTTCAAAAGCAAGACTGAATGTCTCTATAGTGAAGTCCATATAGATGATTTGACAATTATCAAGTTAATTTCAGCTAGCAAGACAGTGTTTCTCCCTGCATATTTCACCCTGTCTTACACACATACACAGAATCGCATAAAGGTTCTATAGGAATTACATCAAAACTTCACACACATAACTTTTAAAGAACACATAAGCCTGTACAGATTTTTGCGATTTCGATTATTATCTCACAGATAATTTATCAGGCTGAATAGCATTATATGCATCTCTAGTTTTTAGGTCAGCAGTCATGCAAAACAAATTCACATTTTGAATGCTGTCAGGCTGGAAATACCAGCTCACCGCAGCTCAGGTGTGTTCGTTGAAGACGTCAAAGCTTGATGGACGATGCATGTTTTTGAGGCAGACTCCTCAAGTTCCTCAAAACAAGAAGTAAACACCGCATTCCTGAAACTATGGGAGTGAAATGTACTAATGTGGCCTGAGCAGCAAGTTTTTAGGGAGCCACAAGTTTGTGTTAAAATGGGAATCATTTTGGTTGGCAATTTTGTGCACACTTCAGTATAGACTACTACTGCAAACATATAAACAATATGCAATTCATTTAAGCTGAGCATGTCTTTGTGTATGAAAACCTGTGTTAAACACTAGACTCAAAAGTGTGTGTGTATACTTTTTGTTTGTCTTTGTAAATTGTCCAGGATGAGAGCAGTCCAGATAAAGCAGGCCACCAGTCAGATGATGAAAGATGGGACACACCACCTCCAAAACCTCCCCGCATACGCAAGTAAGACAAATTTTCTGTTTGGGAAGGTTTGACCACCATTAATATACTCAACTGTTCAAGTCAGTTCTCGCTCGCTTTTCTTAAAGTTCACAAAAACGTGTGCAAAAGGGGATTTAGCAGAAGAATGGAATAACCTGCGCTCATCCTCCACCCGGATGAATGAACAGGCTCGCACAGAAGTGAGCAGTAGGTGTGAAGTGGCCCGTCACTGAACACAGTGGGTGTTGTGTTTTGTGGGAGGAACGCAAAAAAAAAAAAAAAAGAATCACAGCACAACAGTTTGTATGAAGCACACAATGAAAACATACTAAACTGACCAAACAGAAGCAGCAGGCATCTTTTTCACCTCAAACGAACCAGCGCTTTCTGACACATTAGTTTGCCGTCGGCCCACAGATGCACCCGGCCTCCACTTTACTGAAGTTAACAAACTGTTGTGGCCTGAGGAGGAGCTGTATTTATAGATCCTTTTGCAACACTTACCAGTACTCTGTAACAATACATAGTGTTGCATGTGCCACAACCAGAGGGCCAGTTGAATTAGAGCGGCTGTATCTTCTGTCTGTTTGAGAACAAATACATGCTTTTCTTTTTCACACTTGCAGGCATATGGTTTCAAACACACTGTATCTGTCATATGCATAAATACACATAGATGCTCCCTCTCTCTCATCTTACTTTGGCAAATTTCCATTCCGTGCTCATCCTCTGTTCTTGTTTCTCGTCCTCTCGCTGCTCCCTTCCCTCCCTCTCGTTTTTAATTTTGCTGTATGTACCCAGCAGGGGTTGTGCTCTACTTTCTCTCAGCCAGTTCATCTTCAGTTCCTCTGCCCCTCTTCTTATGATTTATCCACAGAAAGGCTGTTAGTGCAGGAATACATACAACTTTTTAAACAAGCCAACGAGATAAGAGTCTCAAAGAGTTGCCTCCGTACTGTTGCTTTAAAGTCACAGAGGACGTCTTGTTGCCAGGAGACTGTTTCACTTAATTACCTGTTGCTAGAAGCATTGTCTAAAAATGTCCAGTTTGACGGCATTTGTTTGTGTCCATGTGTGAATCATTTGATCTCTGCTCCTCCGTGAGATTTAATTTATATATTTTCATTCTTTACTCTGGAGCAGTCTTCATTTTAATTTGATGCCCAATTCTGCACCATTGTAACACCAGAAAAAATAATTAATCTGAGCCAACGTGACCTTTGTTTCTCTTTCTGCTTAAATTATCATGCTCTTGGTGTGCTGAACTTGTCCACTGCACCGGTCGGTTGGATGGGAAAGCAAACATTTTTTCAGAGGTTCTAATTTTGGGACGTAGCTGCAAGAGATCTGTTCACTGAAAAGTTTCTTTCCTCCTCTCAGTAAAACTTGCAAAAAATTGAACTGTTGCCAGAATCGGAGGCTTTCCTGGAAGTGTGATAGAGCCTGACCTTTAGGAATATGGCTTTTTACCTCTGCTTGACTCTTAAATCTCACGCTTTGTCTCAGTGTCTGTCTTTCTCTCGCTGTGTCATCCCTCAGTTTCCTAATGAAAAAAACGTCAAGGCCTAGTTTAAGCCTGAGAGTATTCTAGCCATGGTAAGAGCTATTTTTACCAACATAGTTCACATTCTGCCGGCCACACTCCCCTTGGGTCACTTCAGTAGTCTAAGTGTGTGTGTGTGTGTGTGTGTGTGTGGGATTTTTGTCGTATGTGTGTGTTAGACAAAGAAACATACTGCAGGAACTCCAATAAGGCTGGCCTCAAGGTCACAGATACTGAATCATGGCTTTTACATACATACACATACATTCACTGCCACGCCCTGAAGACTCATCAAGTACCAAAAGTTAGCATTGGCCCGTTTCTCAGATTCTTAGTCTTTTGTTCTTATTTGTTGATCCAGTTTTTCCTTTTTTAAATAATAACTTAAGACAGTATTTAATGTTGGCAAAGTTTTTTGTACAGCTGCAGTCACCCAGGTTTGATCTATTTTGCTAAATATAAAATGTTTTTTTTTTCTATAGAAAAATATGGATATTACATAAAATAAGGTTTTAAACAATATAGTTTTGTTATACAGAAAATGAGGTGTTATATTGGCACAAATATGGCAAATTTTGGTTAAGACCTGCCACTACATTCCAGCAGCACACAGACACACAAATACAAAACAAGTGGTTATCAAGAATATCGAGGTCTCTCTTCGGCCACGGCACAATTTTTGGGCAATTTCTTAACCTGCCTCTGCGTTGAATAACACAATCCACACTGTCCTAGTGCAGTTGATGTCCTTTAACCTCTGTAACATACAAAACATCTTAGACCTAAACCTGTTATTGATGTAAGCTTATTAGGAAGAGTCAACTGTGGTGTAATTGTAGGAGCTGGTACATGTCTCTTGTGGCAACGTTGCAGTGTTTGTTAACATCTCAAGTTGTTCATTCTTATCTTTAAAAAATTAGAAATTGATAACCATCTAATACAGCACTCCAGCGCACACACACACTTCAGCGATATAAATCTGTGTGGTTTGTGTGTGTGTTTCGGTACTTTTCATGGTCGGCTGCATGAATCTATCCTCAGCACAACCTGAAACCAGGAAGTGTCTCTTTTAGCTTTATCACCTTCTAGCGCATCCCGCCTCTGTGAACCAGCTCTGATTAAAAATGCAGCTCCTTCCCTCTGGAGTACATACGTGTGGAGGGCACAGCGCGCTTGTTATGTGTGTGTGTGTGTGTGTGTGTGTGCGCGCGCATTTATGAGTGTGAGTGTGGGCGGCGTTAGTGCATAAATTTCAAGTTCTTGTGAGGGCACGCATCTGTGTGCATACATGTGTTTGGTTGTGTGTGTGTGCATGAGTGGATAATGTTTGTCTGGCCAAAATAAGCTCTTAACTGTTTCGCCAGCTTACCAAAAAAAAAAAGTATGGATGGTTGTAGTGTCTTTTATGCTTCAAGGCAAAAGTATGGGTAGTTGTGTATGATGCTTTTGAAGCTTGTTTAAGATTTTCAGAATAAAAGCAGATTCTTAAAGATGCTGTCTTTTACACACAGTCATGTTTTACACATTCCAATATAAATCTGATAACAGGGTAACACTTTAGACCTTTATAAGCAGTATATAAACATTTAATACATGTTTGTAGCACACTAGAATATAGTAATAGACAGGTATAAGTGTTTAACAATGTATAGTATTTTCCAACCATTATAACTTCTCCTATAAGGACATTTTAAATGTTATTACAACTGTGCTTTACTATGCTGTCATTTATTTCCTGTTTGTACAGCACCTCTTCACCCACAGGATTTGTTATAGTTACATAGTATATGTTTAAAAAAAAAAAACGAATATAGGCCTACAACTGCATTAGAAAGCGTTGATGAAATATCTCTGAGAAGCAAGGAATATAAACATTTTACAGCTCTATGGAGGATAAGTTGAATGTCACCGTTTTGTGTCAGTTGTGGCCACTGATGCACAGGTGTAGAAACAAAGATTTTTCAAAAACTTGCGAGTGAAAGCTAAGCACTTCTGCTACTTCTTCTTTATTCACCTCATAATATTTGAATACGTACTTGCATTCGTCACGGATGTCCTGTGATTTTTGCCTGTAACCTCAATTTCCTTCATTCTCATTGCTCCTGCTTATTTGTTTTTCTGTGACTTTATTGGTGTTTGCTCCTGTAATAGCTCCGCTTCCCCCTCAGGGATAATTTAAGTTTCATCTTATCTTATCTGAGAGTAACACAGGGCCTGAACAAACTCTGTGGCATCTGAATGATTCATATCCCCATGGAAACTATCAGGACCTGTGGGAATCATCTCTGTTAGTATTAAATATATATATTATGCTTACTCAGGCAGTGAAGATAATATAGAAGAAGAAATTCTCCTGGGTAATTTATGTTTTCATTAAAGAAGGACACACACACAGTGTTTTTGTTTAGATAATTTTGAACCTGACCCTAAAGTGACCCACAAGATGTTGTCAACCAATGGCAGCTAGCTAGAGATGCTGTGGCTTTATGTGTAAGACTTTCACAGAACGACTGCAACTCCAGAGTTGATTAAGAAAAGGAAATCCCCGTTACTTCTAGCTCGCAACTTCTCTCCATGTTCTCTGACACACGCAGCATCATGTGCGGTCCTATGTTAGTTCTTGATTTACCAACCACCACATCCTTTCGCTGTTTTTTTCTGTGTGTGTATATAGATATATTTGCATGCATATGTAAATGTATATTCTGTGGAGTGAAACAATGTCTTAATGTTTAACTTTCCATTGCTGTGTGGCTGGCGTCGTCACAACCTCAGCATCCTGTGTATATAATGCACCTACCTACATACACTGCGTTTATCTATAGCTGTGTTTATAAGTGTGGGAGTCTTTAGTTGAACACTTTTAAGTCAGTCACATATGCAAAAAGCACATGCATATATATATATTTAACCATACACATAGATTCTGTATAAGTTGCATGACTGTAGTTAGTATTTAGGGAAGGTTAAAGATGGGGTCGGACATTCTGGAGAAAGATGGTTGACTGCAACCTAAAGAGTTGGTATTTTTGACAACCTGGGAATGAGACTCAACGATGAATCATTTTTCTTCAGAATGACTGACCCGAACTTTAAGGGAGGTTGAAGGCTGTTGAGACAAGATTAATTTTGACTTTACTTCTGAATGAGTTGCCTGAACTAGGCTCTCAAATTTGCGCAGGAAGAAGAGGGGTTGGCCCTGCCACCTACTAATGATTAGTCAGAAGACCAGCCTTTTGCAATCACAGAGCCCTCCAGGTATATGTGGAATGACTATAGATGATAAGTAGGATTGTTCATGTCTGTGTAATATTTTCTAAGTTAAAAGTGGAATCTTGGAAGTCAGATCTAGTGTGTACAGGGAATGTGATGTGATAAGAGCAGGGGTAATTTAGTTGAATTTTTCTAGTTTTGGTTAATAATTAATATTATAATGATTAATAACAATGGTCAAGCTGAGACAAGACAAAAAGCATGAACTAGTGTTTCAAACTGACCTTGTAGTAGATGGTGTCTAGTATGCTTTGGTAGCTGAAAAGATAGATGATATATGTCACTTTTTTAAACACTTCCTCTTTGTAATGGACCAACAATACCTCATGTAGGTTGCTGCATAGACAAGAATACAGTATAATAGAAAATAATGCAATGCTTATTAATATCTCCATGGGAATTTTGTTTAGATAAAGTACAATCAAAGGCCTAAACTCTGTATTGGTGAATCAGTGTGTTTTTAGTTTGTTTAAATCCTGCCACCTAGTGGTGCAAAACTAAGATTCACAACATGAACAGAAACTCCCTTTTTAGTTTTGTTCAAGTATGAAATAAATTCAGTTCATTTCATCACCTTACTTTCATCATGTCTTGTTAGACAGAGAATAATTTAAACGTGGATGTCCAAATGTCTGGACGTTGTCTGACCAGTATGATGAAATTCTTGCCTTTTCATCATTTTCATTTCCTAAGTGGCCAGAACCACAGTCTTCCAAACGTCTGTTTAAGGCCCCTTCGAACTGGCTTCAACAAATAGGTTTGTACTTAAACATTCAGACAACTTGTATCATGATGTAAAAGCCAAATACGTTGGCATGTGAATGAGTGAATTTTCCCTCAGTCTTTATTTCTGTGAATGTACAATTCTGGCTCTCAGTTTGGTGTTTTAATTATAGCGTCTCTGTAACATTTTGGGCTCTGTGGGATGGAGATGTCTTATTAAAGAACATCAAAAGTCTTTCTCTCAGTACGTAATATCCATTCACTAAAAAGCTTGTCTGGTTTTGGCTATTTTTTGCAGTTCACTGAGCTCTTTCTCTCTCTCTCTAGTCCCCCCCAGGCAGAAGGTGATGTGAAGGAGGAGATACTCCAGCCCCCAGAGCCTCACCCTGTACCCCCTATTCTGACCCCGTCTCCCCCTTCAGCCTTCCCCACTGTCACCAACGTACGGCAGGACAACGACCGCTACCACCCCAAACCTGTCATACACGTCCTGGCTACCACACAGGCGCAGGTGAGGAACTGTAGCTTCAGAAACATGGTATGTGTTTATTAGCAGGATTTCACTCCAGAAAGCAAATGACTTGCCCTGTTCGCCTCTTAGAATTAAATACTATAGATTTACACATCCCTCCCTACATGGAAGATGTTGGTTGTTTTCTAGTGTGATGCTGAATGTTCAAAAAGGTGCTTAAGTGTCTCATCTTTTCCTTTCCAGAATAAAGAAGTGGACAAGCAGCAGAACCAGTCTGAACCAAGTCCAAACAAGCAGACGAGTCCCTCAGAGCAGAAAGACCAAGATCTACTAAGTCGAAAGCAGCAGACTCAGGTCTCAAATCTAGATCTCAATGACAACTATAACAACAAATTGTCTTCAACTTCGACAAAATCAGAATCGGGCCAAAGCCAGACTCCCTCGTCGCCCCTCTCCCCAGCTGTTGAATGTTCCGGTGCTCCTCGGATCGAGAGGAAGCTGAGCATTGAGATTAAAAAGGTGCCGTTGCAGGAAGGACCTCGCAGTTTTGACACTTCCTCCTCCGTTGGGGTAGCGGGCGGAATAGGCAGCAGTCCGACCAATAGCGCGGGCATGCTGCAAAGAAGCCACGCCTTCAAAACCCGCACTGGCCCATCCCTGCTGACCTCTAGCTCCTCGCTGTCCGAGGACTCGGGCACGGAGGGAGGAGGAGGAGCCGGATGCGGGGAGAGTCACACGGACGGAGGCGTCCTGGCCAGACCGAACCACCTCCCTGTGAAGAGTGAGAAGGGGGAGACACCGGGAGGGGAGAGGATGGAGGCGAAGGCTGGCCATGCAGCATGGGCTCAACCGTGCAACAGCCCAGAAAAACAGTTCCCCAAAACCTCCTCCTCCTCTTCTTCCTCCGACCGCGTCGCCCCATCCTCGTCCTCCTCCTCCCACCTCTCCTCCTCTACTTCCTCCTCCTCCTCCACTCCTGTTAGGACTGCCCTGAGTTTCACCAACCCCCTGCACTCCGACAACTCGGACGAGGAGGGGGACGGAGAGATGTCCGGAGGAAAGGAGGGTTATCGTCCCAATGCATCCACGGCGATGACCATGGTGGCCGCGTCGCTTCATGGCGACCAGCAGCCGGTCCGGAAGGTGATGCCCATGTCGATCGCAGGGCAGAGCTCTCCGTCGCCCTCTGCAACCACAGCAAGTATGTCAAGCAGCTCCTTTTCATTTAATGAGTGAATCTTTGAACTAATTTGCTGCTTTCCTGAAGCAATTAACAACTATAAAGGAAGTCAGACAAATAGGCATCTGGATTAACTTAATAAACCAGGTTTAGATATCACTTAACTAACTCAACTACACACTGATGGTCATTTCATCTCATTTCTGAGGAGTCTTCTTAGTAAACAATGTGCTAAAGGCACTAGGTCAGGAAAACCTGTCTGTATTATCCACACACACACACACACGCCCTGGGAAAGCACACATATAGTCATTTTCTGGGTCAGTAAGGAGACAGGTCTCAGACAGACCACATGCTAATGACACCTTGTATCTGTCACCACACACACACACACACGCACAGACACATACACACACACACACACTGTTACTGCTGGGTTAAGACCGAGGCAGGGAGAGAAAAAACACGGAACAAGGAAGAAAGAAGGAAGAAGAAATAACAAACAGAATGAGAGCGACAGAGAAAAACAGAGTGAGGTAGTTCCAGTCTCGTATGAAGCATGGCTGTATGACTAATTGGTTGGTTCGCGAGGAATGCTGCGAATGTTAACAGGCAAACATCTGTCAAAACAACTCTACTCTTTCTCTTTCAGCTTGTGTGTGTTTGTCTAAGTGAGTGGATTTGCAAACTGGAGGAAGAGCAAAAGAAACAAATCCTGTTTTTGTGTGTTTGTGTTTCAGTGCAGTTATGTGTGTGTGTGTTTGTGTGTGTGTGTGTGTGTGCAGAGAACTGTGTGTGCATGTTGGATGGTGAAGGATGAACACTGCATGATACTGATAAATACACATTCGCCAACTCTGTGTGCACGTCGGGTTGAACAGAGCAGTGTCACACTTTTTGTTTGTGCATTGGTATGGCCTCACTGTCATGATTGCAACGATGAGATGTGGTTTTAATCTTCTGGGGACTGAGATCGCTCCTCCTTCTACGTTGATTTCAAAATCATGAGATTCTGAAATCTGATTCTTGCTGCGATCGGAGCTGACGGGGGAATGTGGAATGGTTCGAACTGGACTTGGGCTTAAAGCCGTTTTCATCTTGAATGGGTTCAAAGCTTCCTGAAATAAGACTTATCTGCATTTTTGAATATTTGGATTTAACTGTGAGAGTGCATGATGAGAATCAATTCGCCAGCAGTAAAACTTCTTCAATTTAAAAACTAGTATATGTTCTAATAGATAGTTTGAACAGCACATAAAAAGAAACAGTTTATTGATGCTGTGCACGAGGGACAGAATGACTTGTGTAGGCCGACACCGATACTGGATGTTTGAGGTTGATAGGGTTATCTATATTTGAGTGTTAGTTTAGTTTACTTAAGCCATTTCAAATTATACAACTCTAATACACAAGTAAATATTATCAGTCAAATCAAATCGAGTTATACTGACCGTAACTTAGAAGTTAAGAACAGTAAACAAACACACAAAATACAACTGTCTTGATCTCTCGTGTACAAACTATATAATGGTGACATTGTTTTTAAATTACATCAAACTGATACCATCATATGTTTAGCCTTTATGTACATTATCAGTCGACATACACTCATACAGATATTCCGACTATAAGGCAATATCAACCTGCCCAGTTTAACCGTCTGGCTCTAATGAAAGAAAACATTTAAGTAATGACAGGAAATGATTGCATTAAAGTCCTTGAGGAAATGATTTTAAGCATAATTTGTTAAAGGTTTAGAATTGGACACATCCATATACTATAGAGGAAGTAGCCTGTTTTAAAGCTGTTCTAGTGTTCAACAAGAAAGCAGTGTGTTAAATGGTCACATTGAAATGCCCTTGTTATCGTTCCTCATTTATACTGTACTATGGGACACAAACAGCCACTTATTCATAGTTAATCAAATCTATTCTAAGTTAAATGCTGTTTTTCACAACAAAGTAACGTGTTTCTTTTAAATATTCAAATGAAATTCAAATGTTATGGTAGCCAGTTCAGTGTCTGGCATCATACATCATGCACTCCTGAAGTATCCCCAATATTTAAATGCAGAAATCTTTGCCTCACAGCCCTGCGATGGACTGTTTTGTGTTTTGGTCTGCTTGGCTTTCTGGCACATTATTTACTTGGGCTGCGGTAGCGCTTTGTAATCGGTTATGAAACGCTGATGGCTGCTTGTTGATGAGTTGCATTGAGCAAATTGCTGCTTTGTGGTTGGTCATGAGAAGGCTGGAAGCTGCTTGTTTTGCTGGTCGCATTATCTATGAACCAATCAAACTTTATTTATAATATGAACAGTTAAAATGTGGGGAAATTAAATATGCAAAACATTATTAGACAAAGCTATGTTATTATAATTCTGGGTTGAATAAAATCCCTCTCATAATTGTAAATCTATTAAAAATGCCAACAATACAAAATAAATACAATAAAATAGATTCTGAAAATGTCAATCAAAAGGTATGTTTTGTAATTATTGTACTTAATAACCAGGATTCAACCTGTTAGGCTCATTTCTCATTTAAACACAACAAAAATAATTTCCTCTGTTGGTTGCAGCAGCACCTTAAAGAAATCTTTTTTTTTTGTTTTGTTATCTTTGTCTTTGCATGAGTTTGTAATTGCATTGTTAACAGCACTTTGGTGAGATCAGGAACAGAAATATCATGTTTATTGGCTCTTGCTCTCATCACTCACGGTGACATTAACCTGCTGTACAATCACCTAACGTTTTCCTGAAAATGGTGCAGTGCTAGACTTCATTAGGACTAATGTTACACCAATCTACACTGATTTATGGGCTTTCCTAGGGCAGTCTTAAATGGAGTAGAAAAAAACACTCCGCTTCAAATGAGTAATTCCCAATGGTTAAGACTTCTTTAGACGTGGAATTAAAATGGTTTTATAAAAAGGGAGTCGCCATTAGGGTAGAAATTGTTTGGATTTCCAGCAATACGAGTTAGTAGAGTTCAGTTAAAACTATTAAATAAGACACAGTGATAGTAAGATAAAGTCAATTATTAAATAATATTAAGTACACCTAACCAACTCTAATACACTATAAAGGTTATAATGTTCTGTTTTGTTAAAACTCTTTTAGTGTTTTGGATTTTTGATTTGACGGCTGCAGTTTGTGGTGCTGTTGAATACTGACAGGTGTTTCTATTATATTGTCCACCCAGTTTATATCTGTGAGGGTCGCCTAAAAAACCGAAACACTTCTGTATAATGCAATACAGCACCACAAACTCCATCCTCCATAAAACCTTAGATAGAAATCCTCTGTGTTAGCGAGGAGTACCTAATAAATTGGCAGCTAAATGCAGGTATCCTGTATATTTAAATCACCCAGTAAGAGACCATCACGGAGCGACTGATGACTGATCACAACATTAGCCATAAAAGAGGCAATTTTTAGGGTCAAAATAATGTCTGCCAAAAAGCAAGGCTAACGTTTAATGATAACGACATTAGGCACAGAAAAAAAACTCTTCAAAGGAAACTCAGATGAATGGGAGCAAATGTCCCAGTAAGAAAGAGACAGACACACTGATGGTCTTTAATAAAGTCATTAATATAAAATGACTTCTCGGATATTGCCCTTGAATATAAAAGAGCCACATTTATTATAGCTGCACAGTGGATCAAAGGTAGCTTTCTATCGAGGAGAAGCACTAGAAAGTATCAGTGTTGTGTTGGGCAGAAATAATTGAGTTTGTATGCTTAACACTAATCAGTCATTTTAAGTCGATGCCCTCAGAGGTGGATATATTTTCAGATAATGTAGGATAATGTAAGGAAATGTAATCATGTGACTGTTCGGACTCAATGTGGCACATAAAAAAAAAACCCAAATAAAACAGAAAGAAGTCCAAATTTCTATTAAAATTGTTTAAGGAGTGTGTAAAGAAAGCCTGCGCAGTGTGTTCACCCTACGTGAATCACTATTTATTATTACATATACAGAGTTCCTCTCATAGCGGTTACATGTCAGATATAGCATCAGCACTGACACAGTTCTTTTAGTATTCAGTATCTGCAAATACATTTGTGTCTGTTACAGATACCACGAGTGATACTTTCAATTAGATGTGGTTAGTTAATAATAAACATCTTCCACTGCGAAAACGCGTATATCTGTGGTTCCTCACAGTAAGTGAAGAGGATGATGAAAATGAAGATCATCACGCCTTAACAGTGGCATGTTCTTCTGTCAGGAGTACATAGAGTTATCATGTATCTACTGAAGGCTTTGATTACTACAGGGTTTTCATGGCCCCACAAAATTAGTAGTAAAAACATACCGTATAAATAAAAAGATATGCCAACAACTTTGACATTGCTTCCTTTTCAAATCAAAATATTTACAAATAGTTGTACAAACACTACAAACTGACATCAAGATAAAGCTTTAATGAAACGCTTTAATAGCAGTTTCAGCTACGCAGTGGATGGGAAATATTTAAACCGATATATAGGTTCATCCAGTATTTGTCCGGCAGTAGTGTGAGTGCATCTTTTAAAATTCAGATTCAAAGGGCTTTATTGGTATGACCATATTCAGTAAGAAGAAAAAGTATGTGTGTATGTAATATTTAACAAGTCATGAAATTAAATAAAGGGGTTTTAAAACTTAACTGCAGCAGATTTAACTGAACAAATCTGCAGTAGAAAGACAAAATAAACATGATTTAGTTTTGTGTGTGATTTACGGAAGAACACAAAAACAGCAAGAGTGCACCAAATAATTATAAAAAATACATAAGAACTAGAAATAAAGAAATCAACATATTAAAAATGTATTTTTTTCCTTTTAATTATTAACTGCTAACACACCTTTGAATGACATTTAATAAGCATGAGCACTCAAAGCTTGCGTTAGCTAATGCTCTTAATGAGGTGCTTGGTACTTTGATTCTGTAGTACAGACAGATCTGTAGAAACGAATCCCAGTGGATACATCCTAAATAAAGTGCTGTGCAAAATACAGTCTAATATCTTTACATGTTCCCCTCTGTGTGTTTAAAGTTGCCCTTGCAAGATGACTAAACGATATTTACTCACATTCAGAGCTTGTTTGTATTAGACACCTTGTAGTAATAATAATAATATTAATCAATAATAATAATAATAATATAATAATAATAATAATAAAGCACAATTTTTAGAGAAGGAATCAATGAAACGCTTGACTTTTTCTCTGCATCGTTTAAATCTGACTGCCGACTGACTCTCTCTGTGTCTCTCTTCTCGGCCAGTTATTAACGTTGCTTCTCGTTTTGACCTCTGACCTCTTTAACCCAGACTGCTGGGACAGCGATGACTCCCCTCCCCCCCTCCCTGCGAGAACCCCTGAGTCCTTCATACTGGCCACAGGTGCGTTTTGCATTGGTCAAGATTCACAGGTGTGTTTTCCAGTGCTGTGGATTCACTGGGTCACCTATCCGGATGCATCCTCTGGTGTGTTGTTGGACAAGAAGGTGGATGGATCAGTGAATATGAGCAGTGGTGTGATTAAAACCATCAGCAGCGGGTGTTTGCTACAGCCGGCAGCCTCTGATAGCTGACAAAGGAGGAATGTGATTTTCCATTCCCATTTTATCTGGTGCCTTAGAGTATGAACAGGTAGGGCCTCAGTCTCTCTCATCCTCACTATCAAACAGACAGATGGGCTCACATATTGCAGAGACCCGTCTTTCACAGGGTGGTCTCTGAAATACCTCGGCCACCCTGTTGTTACTGCGTAGTGCTCTGATGTTAGAAGAGGAGGGCGGTACAATAGTCGATCACATTAGAGCACATGAGATGAAGAGGAGTTAAAAAAGGGGAGCACGTTTCTTTTGCGAGAGGCTTTAGCAGTTTTACAACACTAGGTGGCACCATCGGCAGCCTTTCAGACCTGCAGTGTTTTAGTAAAGCCCCGTCTTTGAAAGAGCCTATGGTCAGTCACAATGTCTCAATCCATACTTCATATGTCAAATTTAATAAATAAAGTACTTTTGAAAAATGGTCAGTATGCAAGCTAAAAATAAAAAAAACGTCTCCCACAATGCAATGCACACAGAAAATTGAGGAGCAGCAGGAAAAAATAACTGTGGATGGTGGGGAAACATCTCAAGAAACACCTCAGAAACTATTAAACTGTCATGTATTGTATAATTTCCTCTGGTTTGAAACAGTGAAAGGTGATTTTCTTGTATACGAGAGTGCACACTGTATACAGCTAGTGTGTAGTGTGGAATTGGGACACAGTATTAGTTTAGTGCTTTTGTACTGGTTTTTAAAATGGACGCATAGAGACAGAGAAACGCGTTAAGGGTACAAGGACACAGTAGGAAGTGAGAACAGTGTCTTGAGGCTTTAATGTCATTTCTTAACGTGTCTTGATCTGCTGTTCAAAGAAGCAGCCTAGCTCTCACTTGTGTGCGCCGGCTCAATCTAAAGCACATTTTTGGCACCAAGTGTCCCCACTGTGAGGCTGAAGGCAAAAGGGTGGTTTAATGGAGGCGACTGAATGAGGAAGAAGGAATGCTGTGAAGGATAGTGAGTTTTTAAAAGGAAGGTAAAGTGTACGAGTGTGTGGGAATGTGATTGGATGTGTGCTTAATGTGCCTAAAGTTTTTGTTAATGTGTTGTTGCTTCTTTCTTAAACTCACTCTCTCTGTTGCTCTCCCCGTTAGACCCTCTGGAAGTGAAAACATCAGCCGCAGCTGAATGGAGCGACTCACATAAAGGTATGATCACACACGTCCACTGCTAACTGCCTGTTTCTCTTTGTGTGTGCAGAGGAGTCCTTGTGCGTGCGTGCGTTTGTGCGCGTGTTTATGCGTCTTCACAGTACTTAGTCAGCAGAGCAGAGCAGGAAACAGACCTTCAGTGTTTTACAAATTAGCCCGCACGCGATAAGACTGACAGCATTTGTCAAAAGGGCAGCTGTGAGAGCGAGAGAGCGGGTAATAACGAGAAAGAAAGAGATGCAGGAAGAGAGAGAAAAAGGGGGGGAAAGATAAAATATGTCTGTAGAGGTGAAATGAAAAATGTGTGCGTATGCTTATCCGCGCTGAGTGATGATGGTTACTGCCAATTTACTGCTTCAGTAGTTTTGGTGTGCACGCGTGTGTGGCAGACACAGAATAATCAAAAGGGAACTGTTTAAACTTGAATTCTGTAATCTTTTTTTTTTTACTAGCTGTGAATATAACTCAATAGGAGCATTTATGAAGAACAGAAGGGCTGTGGTTTCATTTAAGTTCCTGCTGATAGCCGGCCTTTAAGTGTCATGAACTATGTACATGCAAGTGAAAGTTTCTTGCTGTGAAGAGTCACACATATGAATTTCACACATATGAATTTCACACATATGAATGTATTTATTCCTGTGTGTGTGTGTGTGTGTAATGTGGCATTTTGTGCATTTGAGGTTCAGGGCGTCGTTCAGTTTAAATTCGGCTATTTGAGGCCTTCATGTGATAAATCAGCCAGCTGCCAGAAATGCATCATATTAACACACAAAGAGATATCAGACCTCATTATTAAATTACCACAGAGTGGAAAACTTATTTGATGTAGCATTTATTATTTTCAGTACAAACTAAATTGAAGTAAAATGGTAATCATAAAATATAAACAATATTAAGTTGAAATAATTATAATTTTAACAAATGTAGGACCTCCCTCTGTGAAACTAATGCAGTTTAAATAGGTTTTACATCACTAAAGCTATTATACAACACCACTGATATTCACACAATGCTTCCACCCCATTAATCTGTTTGTGTGTGTGTTTGTGTGCGTGTGTTTGTGTGTGTGTTTGTGTGTGTGTGTAGATGTGTCAGAGTGTGTTAAGAAGACATCTCCAGCTGACCCTGCATCTGCTGGCACCACAGCAACAGACAGCAAGGCAGACCTGGGTGGGTAAGTCTGCTGTCTCTCCTCTTTTGTCAGTGACTTTATCTTTATCTTTTTTCCTTGTGACTGGATGCCGTCGCTGGTCAGGTTTCCACCAGTCAACCTTCTGAAGGAGCACAGATATTATTTGCACATTTAATGATTTTTTTATAGTTTCTGTGCAGAAAGCTTTGCTGACAAACATGGTTTCTATTAATGTCATCATATTTTGGATGTTTGGCATTGGTTCCGCTTGCTTTGGGCTACATGTGCAGAAAAAGTTAGATGGGTTTGAGACCAGGCAAGAACTGAAGGCACATTTTCTTCTGGGGTGTCTTAAAAACTCTAAAACCCAATAATCTCAACTGTAGGCCTTCGAATGTCTTAACCATGATTTTGACTATTAAAAACAAAACAGCTACAAAATGAAACCTACATGGAGCCAAGACTGATTTTCCTTCATATCCTTCGTACTTTTTTTTTGCCACTATGGACGTGAAAAATATCTTAACTTGCATTCATAATGATCTTAAAAAGTCTTACATTTGACATACCGAAGCCTGCAGAAACCCTGAAGACATTTCCAGATGTTTTTTTTTATTCAGTTTAAAGCAAAACAAACCCAGTTAAGAACTTGTTTTTCCCCTCCTCTGTCAGGGTTCGGTAACCGCTGCATTCAGCCCAAAGGCCCCCGGGAACCCCCCCTGCAGTGGACATGATGGAACCATCCATCTGCCCGTCCACCGACGGTGTTGTAAGGAGATGGACTCTACCGATCTCACCTGGCTGGTCCAAAAACCAAGTTGATAGATGCCACACAGACAGACAGCACAATTTTACATAGAAACACCTTCTGTGTAACTCTGTGCCCAAAAACTTCTCCAGGCTGAGCTCCTCCTCCTCCTCCTCTTCCTCCTCCTCAGCCCTTCCTTCAAAGTGCCACTGTGCAAAGCAGAAGAACACTTACCGGTCAAGTGGCTTGTCCATTTTAGAACAAAGCCCACATTTTCCTGCTCCGCTTGCTGATGTTAGAGGTTTTGACTTTTCTAGACGCTGACCTGGGATCAGTCCGGTTGTTTTCCTGTTGATGGTTAAAGTATAATTCCTGTATTTTTTTTTGCCCCTTGTTTTTTGGTGACTTGAGAAGTAGATTAAGATTGTTTTTCTCTCCGAGCTGTAGACATATCATTAAAAATGTGTCCATTCTGAGGCTAAATGACGGGGGATGTAGGTGTAAATGTTAAATAAAAAGTGTTAACTTAACAGGAAGAACATTTTCTTTCGTACCAAATGAGAAAAAGTATGTTTTTTCCGTCATAAATCAGGAATTATCTTTAATCAGAAAAGCTACTGTGGGAAGCTGATTCCTGAGGTTTAACTGAACTCCCAGAAGGTGTCTCCTTCCTCCTACTGAACGAACAACAATCTTCAAAGCTAGATAATCTGTTACCCATGATGCAACCTTTTCAGTTGGGTATGTACAGGTTGCCAGGGTGCTCTCTCTCTCTGTTTCTCTGTCTCTCTCTCTTTCTCCCTCTTTCTGTGTGCTGGTGCTACATTACACAGGATCAGCGTAGAAACAAAAGCACACGAGCTGACTGTTACCAACTTTTCTCAACTACGTCATGGATTCCTGTAGGATCTATCCCTGGGTTAGCTGCAGTAACGTCAGCTCTGGTACTTTATATTTCTGTGCTACCCTCCCTGTTTACCAGAGTCATAGACTGACATAGTTTGGTCATTGCAGTGGTCAGTGAGAGTCTGTGGCTGTTTAAGATGTTGTTTGACATTTTGGGAAACAAGCTTACTCACTTTCCTGCCCAGAGTTAGATGAGAAGTTTCATTCCACGCTCATGTCTGTATGGTGTATATATAGAGAGCTGAAGCTGCTTTGCTTAGCTTAGCTTAGCATAAAGACTGGAGGCAGCTAGCCTGGCTCTATCTGAAGATAGCTACCAGCACTTCTAAAGCTCATTAATTGACATGTTGTATCTCATTTGTTTAATCTGCACAAAAACTGAGAGGTAAAAAAAAATTCTTGGCGGGGTGCAGTGACTTCAAGAAATAGTTTGGCACACATCCCCCAGTAAATTGTTGTTTTTACGTTTCGTTTTCTGTGCTGGTCAAACGAATAAGATGTAAAGTGTGAAATGTGAAATGTAGGGGTGTGGGTAGTTGGACTTTATCACCTTTGAACAGAGCCAGGCTGTTTCCCCCTGTTTCCAGTCTTTCTGCTAAGCTAAGCTAAATTAAGCAAATATCTGCGTTGATTGCTCCCTAAGGGCACACACTAAGACCTTTTTTTAAAGCAAATATATCTCAACTTGTCACAGGTTGCATGCGTCTGTGATGCCAAAGAGTGACTATTCCTCTATTAGTATTTCACAAGAAATTAGCATTAATAGTGTCAGACACGTGTATCGTACAACATTTAAAGCTAAATTCCCGACTGTGCCCAGGAATTCTGCTATCTCCAGTCAAAGTGGAGTTAAAATGACCTTAAAACTCATCCGTAATGACCAAACTCATCACCTCTGTGACTCTGACTCTCACTGCTGGGACCAAGAGCCTGCCTTAGTCTGCCTCTCAGAGAAGACAGCCAATGACAGTCCTCCTCAACTTGGCTCCTTCTCTTCACTTCATTACTCTTTCTGTGTATTTGGCTTCTCTTGGTCTTTACTTGGGACTCAAAATTGCTGTTTATTTCATTTTTTCTCACTCTCTCTCTTGTTGTACCTTTTGCTTATCTGTTCCCATCCTCCTCCTCCCTCTGGCCCTCAGATGAACGACCACGCAAGTCAATTCTTTGTATTATAGCAGCCAGTTTACTCACAGTGAACCTCAGTGTTTTCGGGAGCGGGGATGTTACACTTCCTGCAACTCTTATGGGGCTTGACAGATTCATATAAAGTCCGGTTTCCCCCCAAAAAAACAACCCCTTCTCTACAAACAGGACTTGTACGGTTTCTCATCTGACGGCCAAGTTTAAAGACTCATACTGTACCTGCTTCTGTATGTGTGAGACAAAGATCCAATAAGACAACAGCAGCTAGGGACCCAGGACTACTGTTTTCTCCTGATTTTTATTGTTCTCTGCTAACTTCTCCTTCATTAGCTACCATAACTATACAGTATATGCATTGTTTTATAAAGATAAAGAACTGTACAGGGCAGTTTAGGTATATAATATTTCAGATTTGTTTTTGTTTTTGTTATCTCTTAAATATTCTTATTAACAGAAGATGTAAGAAAGTCAGTGCATGATGATGATGATGACGATGATTCCTCCCCTACACGATGTTTCCCTTCAATCTGTAAATTATTCTGCTGCCCTTTTTGTTTTTGCTTCCGGCAAATATTTCAGGGTTTGTTTTTATTTTTATGTTCTAATTATATTCTTTAAAAAGATTGAATTTTTGGTTTGTTTTAATTGTTCAGCAGTGGAAAAGCATTGAGTAAAGCCCCCCCCCCTTCCCCCTCCCTTTCAGATAGCTACATCGGGCTTCGGATAAGATTGTAATAATAATATTAATGATGATAATAATAATAATAATGGTCAGTGTGTAGTCTGACGGCTGTTTGCGATTCTATGACTCATCTGCGTTTGTGTTTGGGGTACTTTGGGAGGAGACGATTGATGGCTATTGACAGAAATATTGACCAAGGGAGAGAAAGTGGTGGTAAGTAAAACACAGTGCAGGGTGAGAAGATAAGAGAGACCAGTTAGGACAGAGGCATGTATGATAACTTGGCCACAGATTCAATGCTCACTGTTACGTGCCATGCAGGGCTTGTTGTGTGTGTCTGTGTGTGTGTTTTCTTCCTGCTTTTCTTTATCTCCCCCTCCCCATTTTCTCTCCGGGTGCTAGACCACCTGTGCAGTCTGGTCTTGCTGCTCATTGGTTCCCTCACACTTCAAGCTGGCCAGTCATCATTTGGAGCACTCAATAAAAGAAACACACCCGAAGAGTTCAGGTTTTCATTTTTGATCCGCTGTTGTTGTTGCCGCTGTTGAGTCTGCAAACTTGTTAAAAATATAGAAAAAAGGTATGTGGTGGGAGGTTGAGGACTTAGCTAGGCTGGGTACACTTGCCAAATGGCTAGTGACTGTTCAGATTTTACAAGCCACTAATTTACCATTACCATTGTTTTTTGGCAGAGGGAAGCAAATCTACCAGCCGCTTGCATATTTTACCAGCTGGTGCTAATTCTGTGCCCTGAAACCACTTGTTTGACTGTATAATTCATGTGTGTAATCTTCGTCTCACCTTGCAGCCCTCGCAGGCGTGGACTCCGTAGTGGTAGCCCGAGGCGCGGTCAGCACAAACTCGACACTCTAGGTTGAGTGACGATGAGGAAGTGGAGAACTCCTCTGGGCCCGCTGCCATCCCGTAAACAACCGATGATGGGCTGGATGCTGGCGTCAGGGCATCTACAAAACACAGGCACGAGGTTGATTATATGTGTCATCGCACTATTGACCCTGACTAATGCACACATCTTAAGGCAACACCTGCACTGATTTTAAATGAATTAAAGGTCTGGTCTATCTAGTGATATTGTGTGTTTTTGTTATTGTCAA